GGCGGTGGCGGCGGCGGGGGCTCGCAGGGCGATGAGGAGGCGCACGCGTCGTCCTCGGCCGCCGAGGAGCTCTCCCCGGCCCCTTCCGAGAGCAGCAAAGCCTCGCCGGAGAAGGACTCCCTGGGTAAGCAAGGCGCGCTGAAGGGCCTCAGGCGGGCAGACAGGCAGGCCGACCCAGAGAAGGGAACGAGCAGAGAGCCAGGAGTCCGCGCAGCAGCCGGCTGGCCTTGGCCCGAGCTGCAGGCAGGCTGACCTTGTGAACTTGCTTTTTAATATTTGGGCGTGGGGATGCAGTAAAAATTCATGTCCAGCTTAGAGCCCCACACCAAGACGTCCTCCGCGCTGGCCTCAGCTCACCCCGACTGGGGGCGAGGACACCGGCGAGCAGCCCGCCTCTGATGCATGCCCTTCTCCGTGGGCCAGAGCACCCTCGACCGTGGTCTGGGCCCAGCCTGCGAGGCGCGGCCCACGCTGGGGGAGGGGAGGGAGGGAAAGTGGCTCGCCCGCAGATAGCACGGATGTTTGTAAGGCATCCAAAATAAGCAGCCGCCAGCACCAATAAATAAGCCCATTAACCGGCGAAGTTCGAGTTTACGATCCCCCAAGCTTTTTTCAAAGTTGCTGGAGGGGCGGGAATCCTCCTTGCGGGTAGAAGAAAAGGCAGATCCCGCCCGGACGCCGGGGCCCTGAGCTGAGCCTCAAGCAGGGGCCGTTCCGCTTCCCCTGGAACTCAGAATCGCCCAGACTGCATGTTCCTGGCTCCTGGAGAGATGTCAGGGCGGGCCCTTGACCCCGAATAAATTTTTCGGGCCTTCCCCATGTCCCAACTGTGTCCTTCTCTCTCTCCTCAACCGGCCTTGGGCCTTGGAGTGAGACACCGCCATGCTGTTCGCCCCCCAAGTAAGCACCCCAGCTTCCATCCTGGGGGGCTGCAGGAAATGCTTGTCTGCTTGGGGCCAGAAGCAAAGAAAAAATAAGGCGTTAAGTTCAAGATATACAGCTTCCCAGGCCGTTCATTCTGAGAGCACCTGGCAGCTTTGTGTTAAAACAGGTGTTTAGGAAAAGGCAAAGGGAAATCTAAATTGGGAGGGTAGGTGTAGATTGGAGGCCCACTGGATTTTGCACACGCCTTTTTAAGGCACATGCCTTTTTTCCTGGGCAAGCGAAAGGGGGCACAATTCTCTTTACGTGACTTAGGGCACCTCTCTCGTGACAGAGGCCACCCAAATTCACCCCTGCAGGCAGTCCACAGAGCCTAGATTTAACCTCCCTCTCTTTATTCTCTTAAATGCCAGGCAATTCCAAAGGCGAAAATGCGGCCAACTGGCTCACTGCAAAGAGTGGCCGGAAGAAGCGTTGTTTTTTTTAGCACCAGACGCTGGAGCTGGAGAAGGAGTTTCTGTTCAACATGTACCTTACTCGAGAGCGGCGCCTAGAGATCAGCCGCAGTGTCCACCTCACGGACAGACAAGTGAAAATCTGGTTTCAGAACCGCAGGATGAAACTGAAGAAAATGAACCGAGAGAACCGGATCCGGGAGCTCACAGCCAACTTTAATTTTTCCTGATGAAACTCCAGGCAATGCCGTTTTTTTGGGTTTGTTTTTGTTTTTGTTGCTGTTTTTGTTGCTCTTCCAGAGAGCCGTTCTCCTCCCTCTGTCTTCAGCCTCTGCCCAGGAACTCGCACCTGTGCGGGGAGCCCCGTTCCTCCCTCCCACACTCCCCATCTCCCTGGCCATTACATCTGTGCAGGGCTGGTTTGTTCTGACGTTTTGTTTGTCTGTTTGCTAGGTGCTGGTTTATTTGTTGTTTTCTGGGGGAAAAAGCCATATCGCTCTAAAATTCTATATAGATAAGTATTATCCTAAGTGTCAAGTGGTGACTGAGATGGTTTGCTGTCTCAGGATTCCACTGCTCAAGATGGCCCCTGTCATCCCGGTGGAGCTGGTTTCCTGCGGGGGCCCCTGGGCAAATCTAGCCCGGAAGGCTGAGGTCCCATTGTAGGCGCTGAGGTGTCTGGCCTGAGGTCAGTGGTGCAAGGAGCTGCCACCGGGCTGCCCGGCCTGGAGTGTTGGGCTGTGTTTAATCAGGGGATAGAGGCCCCAGGGTTTCTTTTTTCTTTCTTCCTTGGCAAAGAGAAGGGCTTATGGGCATGGACGTACAGGTTGGCAAAAGGGCTTGACTTTGGCTGATTGGAAAATCGAGAGTTAGAAAGATGAATTTTTCCTTCCTCTGTAAGATATCCCAGCTATAAAAGAAAAGAAAAAAAAAAAAAAAAAAAAGAATGACCAGGACAAGGAAACTTCTCTTCCAGATTGTGTAAGGTCTTGCACTGCAGGACTAAATTATTTCCCTTACCTCTGAATTTCCATATCCTCTGGCTGTAGATAAATAATCTAATGTAGTTTTATTTATACCTGCAGATTTAGTGGATTTGTTATCATTAAATAATTGTTACCACTGGTAACGCAGGACAAGCACACCACAATTCTCCCTACCTTGTGGAGGGTTTTTTTCCTTCCCACTTTTTTCTTTTCTTTTCTTTTTTTTTTCCTTTCCAAAATTCATGGAAGCCGAGGAGGGCTGGGGCAAGCAGAATAGACAAGAAAAGGGAGACATTGTTTGGGTTTCCTTTATACTGTGAAGTTACATGCATAAAAGGGTCAAACCTGTAGGTGCAGAAAAAGAAAAAAAAACTATAAATGCAAATCTGTATAAATGTCTATTATTTTGAAAAACTGCCAATCTTGTTTTATGCAAATGCATTCTACGTTATTATAAATGTTAGTTCTAGCTCTATTTACTTCTAATCTTAAATCAGAATAAATTAATATTGTAATGCTGCTGTGCGTGGAAAAAAAGACGATGTTTATGTTCTTATAGAAGAATAAAAGCTGTGGAATGAAGCTTTTTAATTTTACCTCTTTTTTTGACTTATCTTCACCTTCCACTTTATCCCGTCCACCACTTTTACAACAGGAGGACTAGCCCTCACCCCCTGCAATTACTTTAGGCATCTATTTAAATATTACCTAGACAGTCGTAATTTGTCTGGGCCCTATGGCCCTGGTGCCGTAAGGTTTGTCGGCTTTTGTTCGGTTTTATGACTTGCTAGTATATCTGGATTGTGGCTGTCTTGGACCGGTGGTTTCAGTTGAGAGGGGAGCTGCATTAGACAGAGGAAGCCAAACAGGATTTCTTTCGGGAGCCCCAGGGAAGCTCGCAGAGGCTGGTTATTTTGTGGGTCCCCTGGTCCTAGATAACCCCCAGCCTAGGAATCCGGGGAGCAGGCTGGGCCCAGGACGCGTCACTAGCGTCCACGCAGCGGTTAGGTAGACCGCTGCTGGGCTGCCCGGGGGTCCCCTCCCCCAGCACGGCCTCCCCCACCTGGTCGCCCTCCGCGGGGCCACGCGTTTCCTGCTCGCGGGAGGTGGGGGTGGGGGCGGCAGTAGGGGGAGGGGGCGCGGGAGCGCGCGCCCGGGCTGGCTGCCTGGCAGGGAGGGAGAGAGGGGGAGAGCGAGCCGTGGGGAGCGAGCGCAGGAGGCCGAGACCAGACAGGGAGCCGGGCTCCGGGCTGTCCCTGGCGCTTTGGAGTCGCCCAGGGCTGCCGCCTCTCGGCGCCAACTTGCTGAGCTGCAAGATTTGGGAAACCAGCACGCACCCTGCTCGTTCTCTGTTCTCGTTTTCTCCCCTCCTTCCATTTTCCTCTCTCTCCTTTACCTTCCTTCCCTCCCTCTCCTAGGTTTACCTTACTGGGCCGGTGGCTTCTCCCTTCGTGATGCCTTAGCGGTAGCCCGGAACACGCAGTGGCAGCGGAGGGCGCAGGTTGGCGAGGGACCGGGCCGGGCGCGATCACAGGGTTCTCCCTTGGCGGCGGCGGTGGCAGTGGCGGCGGCAGTGGCGGCAGCAGCAGCGGGCGAGGCAGCCCCGTGCGGGCAGCACCAGAACTGGTCGGTGATTTAGGTAGTTTCCTGTTGTTGGGATCCACCTTTCTCTCGACAGCACGACACTGCCTTCATTACTTCAGTTGAAATCGTCTCCAGGTACCTGTGTGCGGGGGCCGGACCGGGCCAGGCGGGGCATCCAGGCTCTGGTCGTGCCAGGCCTGCGGTGGCAACCTCGGCTTTCCCTGCGCAGGAGCCTCGTCCTTGCCTCCTTCTCAGAGCTTCGCCAGACTGCTGGCCTCACCCCCCCGACCCCCACTTGGCCCTGAGCAGGTATGATCAGGTTAGCTGCTCCTTAGCAGACGCCGGGGGCGTGGTAGGAATTCTGGGCCCCGGGCCATTCAAGGTCAGGGGCGCACGCTTCCAGCCTGGGCCTTCCCGCTCCAGGTCTGTCCCTGGCCAGGGACCCCGCCATTCTCCTGCATGGCGGGGACACCATCAGCCCCAATCCAGGATAGGAGATAAGGAAAGATTTCTTTGTCAGTGGAGACTCAGTCTAATCCAGAAGAGACAGCGCAGACGGGGACTGGGATACTGGCCTGGTCACTTACCCTTTTCTCTGCAAGTTCTTTCTGCTCACAGGAGCTGCCTTGGACTCTTTTCTTCCTTCTTTCTTTCCTTCCCGCCTTTCTTCCTGTTTTTTTTCCCCCTTTCTTCTTTTCTTTACTCCTTCATTCTTTTCCCCTTTCTCTTTATTTTTGTTTCGTCCTCAGTCTCTCTGTGCCCAGTTTTCTATCTCTACCTCCTTTCCTCGCCAACTCTTCCTTCTGGGGGACCCAGGGCTAGCTTGAGAAGAGCCTGGAGGGGGTCTTATTTTCCTGCGGGCGTTCAAGCCGGATCTGGTGAGGAAGAACTCGCGCGGGCGGCTGTCGAGGGCTGTGGATCTGGGCCTGGTGTGCCGCTGCGCTGACAAGGCCTCGGTTACGATCACGACCGGATGGCGGCGGCCTTGCGTTCCTACGCCGCGAGTCAGCAGCAACAGCATAGGAGATCCCATTTGTGGGCATTCGCGGCATGTTCGTGCCCACACTAAGGGCAAGGAGGGCTTCGCCAGCCTTACTGGGGGCTTGAGGCTGGGACCTAGACTGAGGCTCAGCCAGGCTCGGTGGAGTCTGGCCACAGAGCGAGATCTCCAGGAAGCTTCCTCGACTCTCCCGGCCTTGCCGATCTCAGCTCAGGCTTTCAACTGCCATCACAGAGTCCCGCTAAGGCAAAGATTGGCTGGCTGCTTGCTAGCCAGTAGCTTCTGTCAGGTTCAGAGTATGTTAGATATGGCATCTTCGTGCGGACGATTGCTGGAGAAGGGGAACTTCCAGAGCCAGCCTGTTTCAAATAATAGGGGAAGGGAATTTTAAAGTCCAGAACCATTGGAATACAAACTTGGGTCTTTGTTCCAAACTGTAGTCTACTGTTGGAAGACAGTCGGACCATTCTCGTTATTACTGGGAACCCAAAACAACCTCCATCCCTCCCTAGCCCCCAACACACACACATTCAGGCCGTCGGGTTCATTCCCACGGGGCAGTTCTTCCCTTTCCAGCTCAGCTTTGGGCCCAGGAACTGTTTTCATCTCTCAGCTCCTGGTCCCCTGATCTGAAAGGCCCGCACACCACATTTTCATCAACTCTTCTCTGCTATTTTCAGGACCTGTGTATTGGATTTGTTCTGGAGGCCAAGGTTTTAGAACTCTCAGGTGAGAAGAGGCAATTTGTAATCACGCCCATTTATTATTTCTTTATGCGCACGAAATCCCTTTTACTTCCAAAATAAAAGCAGATACAAACGCCTGAATAGTCTCTTTCCAAACCTCTGAGCTAAAGAGGGATACTTTTTGTTTTGTGATTCCCACCCCCTTCTACGCACCAGTAAGGACCACTTAACACTCAAGGTCTCCTAATTATTTAGTAACCGTCCTATTTTGGAGGCTAGGGATATTTAAAGGAACGGTCTTTTATTTAAAATATTACTCTTAATAATTCGTGTCTTCTCTGGGTACAAAAAAAGTGGAAAAGGCAATCAGGTACGTCCTGCCCGTTTGCAGACAATTACATTAGGGGAGAAAATTTCCTCCCGGATTAATTTTTCTTAATGAAAATCTCAGAGGCCCCGCAAACTGCCGGATATTTGGGACACCTTTGGCAGCGGTGGGGGTGGGGATAACGTGGAGGAATTTAGAGGGAAAGGAAAAATATTAGGGGGGGAGGAGGCTGAGGCGACCAGGACCGGCCACGTCGGAGTTCATTGTGTGCGCCACTTCCCTCTTCCGGCGCGGGCTGAGAAAGGGGCACCGGGTTGGTCTCCACGCGGCTTCTCAGCCTTGGTATCAGGGAAAGCCTGGCACGTGAAGATCCCTGTGCAGGATAGGGATGTGTCAGGGGTTTGGCGGGGGGGAGGTTACTGGAACTGTTGGGGAGGGTGAAGAAAAAAAAGGAGATGGAAGCGCCCGAGGCCGCCCGTCCTCGCCGCCAGGGAAGTGGGCTAATGAGAAACACACTCTTGCATAGTGTTCACACGTGAATTTAATTACCCCGTTTTTAGGAGTCACTGCTTTCTGTTTGGATTTGGGGTGGGTTTTTTTCCTTCCAATTAACGGAGAGGCCGAGGCCTTTTAATTTACCCCTGAAAGGCTCTAAAGGGTGAGAAACACCCTTCTCAATTTGGCCAAGCTAAGGAATAGGATTAAAGTCAATGCCCCGTGCCCCTCCCCGTTTTAATTTCTGGCCCTGGACTTGAGCTGCGGCCGCCTCACGTTGGGCCTTGTAACTCCGCTGAGCCGCGAGCCGCGTGGGTAACCGAGGCGGGCGCGCGCAGGGCAGTGGTTAGGAAAGGACTCAGGCTGGGCTCCGGGGCCAGCCGCTCCGGTACGGGCCTCCTAGCTACTGGAGCCGCCGGGTCTCTTAGGCCAAATTCTTCTTCCATCGGTGCTGCCTCGTGTTTTTGTTTGTGTTTGTTTGTTTTTTGAAGCTCGGATTCAGGGAGTGCGATGAGGCTCGTAGAGCTCAGCGTTAGGGCCTTCGAGGTCGGAGCACAGGGCTGGGGTGCTTGCTGCGTCCAAGACTGGGGATTGTGATTCCCGCTGACGCTAAGCGGGGCGCGCTGGGCGCGCGTGTGCGCGGTCGGGGCCTGACGAGCAGCACGAGCAAGCCCCCAAACCCTCCGCTCACAGATGGCTGGCCGCTGCTTTCCCGGTCGCTTCTCGTGGGGCGCTCGCTGGAGGCGCAGCGGCGAATTTGGGAGCTCCCTGGGCACCCTGCGATCTGGTCGGGTAGATTCCAGGGGCTGAGTGCTGTGGGCGGCCTGTCTCTGCACAGCGCGCTCGGGCAGGGGCGGTGGCGGCTCAGTATGGGACTGCTACTGCGTTGAATTTGACTTCTCGCGGCCGGCCCGGGGCAAACTCGCATCTCTGGGGACTGCAGGGATTATTTACAGGGAGCTCGCCAACCAAACACAACAGTCTAATTTAACCTTTCCAAGTCCTCGTAAATTTTTACAGCTGGGAGCCACGGCGAGGTAAACGAATCTGTTGGTCGTTCCCAACTTCCCACCAGCCTGTGTGGCTTCTGAAACAATAACTCCTTATGAAATATCATAAATATAGATTTAAATACAGTAGAGCGAGAATGCGATTTGGCTGCTTTTTTATGGCTTCAATTATTGTCTAATTTTATGTGAGGGGCTCCGCTAGCCGCACTCGAACGCGGGACCCGCGCCTTGCTGATGGCGTGATTAATTGTGATATAAAATAGTCCGCTTAAGAAGTGTGCGTCTGGTGGTGGCGGTGGGAGGGGAGGGAGTCCGGAGGCAAGGCCAGATTTGATCTTTTAATCTTCGTTGGCCACAATTAAAACAAACCCGATCGTGGAGCGCCGCGATCCTTTTGCATAAAAACATATGGCTTTTGCTATAAAAATTATGACTGCAAAACACCGGGCCATTAATAGCGTGCGGAGTGATTTACGCGTTATTGTTCTGCCGGGCGGACACGTGACGCGCGCGGCCAATGGGGGCGCGGGCGCCGGCAACTTATTAGGTGACTGTACTTCCCCCCCTGGTGCCACCAAGTTGTTCCATGAAATCTGCAGTTTCATAATTTCCGCGGGTCGGGCCGGCCGGCCGGGCGCAGAGCTCGGCGATGGCCACGACCGGGGCCCTGGGCAACTACTATGTGGACTCGTTCCTGCTGGGCGCCGACGCCGCGGACGAGCTGGGCGCCGGCCGCTACCCTCCGGGGACCCTGGCTCAGCCCCCGCGCCAGGCGGCGGCGCTGGCCGAGCACCCCGACTTCAGCCCGTGCAGCTTCCAGTCCAAGACGGCGGTGTTCGGCGCCTCGTGGAACCCGGTGCCCGCGGCGGGCGCCAGCGCGGTGCCCGCGGCCGTGTATCACCACCACCACCACCACCCCTATGTGCACTCACAGGCGCCCGTGGCGGCGGCGGCGCCGGACGGCAGGTACATGCGCTCCTGGCTGGAGCCCACGCCCGGCGCGCTCTCC